AAGCATTAAGTGGATGTGACACAACTTCTGCGCTTTTTAAAAAGGGGAAAAAAAACATTTTTAAAAGTTTTTGAGAAACTGACCAATTTGGATGAACTAGCTGCAGCATTTGAGGAAGAAAATTGTTCGGCCCAGAGATTATTAGAGAGTGGAACTCAAACCTTATTGGCAGTCTATAATGCTCCGAAATCTGTGAAAAGTCTCGATCATCTTCGTTATATGCATTACGTCAAGTCTACAAAACTTAATAAACCTGTGCAGCTTTCAAATATTCCACCAACAAGTGCAGCTGCTCATCAACATTTCGAACGTGTATATTATCAAGTTCAAACTTGGTTAGGGCATGTTTTGGGACCCCAGGTATGGGGTTGGGCAATGCGAAACCATTTTCTGGAGCCTATCATGACAATTTTACCACCTGCTCCAGAACATTTGCTAAATACAATTTTCTGCAACTGCAAGAGTGGTTGTGGTTCGCGATGCGGATGCAGGAAAGCGGGCTTGCAATGCTCTTTAGCTTGTGGCCAATGTAATGGGCAAGCCTGTCTCAATGCTCTACCATATCAGAGCGACATTAACGAAGATGGAACTTTTGACCCCGAAATCATGGAAGAACTTGAAACAAATGTCGTTGAAGACGATAATGAAGACCAGTTTGAAATTTACCAGCAGCCGGAAGACGACGATGAAGAGAAAGAAGATGATTAAAATTATAAATTGTAGTTTTTGTACCCTTTATTCCATTTTTTTACTTTTAATAAAAATAAATGTATTGAATATTTTTTAATAAATTTTTTTTATTTTTTTTTTGTCATGTAAGAAGTTATTAATATTAATAAGGTTTAAATTCAAATATAATTCCTATATTTTCATTAACAATTCTGCAATTTCATGGGCAGGTAAGTGTTGTTAAATAAATTAATACTGAATAAAAAGTGGATAGGTTAGGAAGAAATGATAAAATATAATATAATAGTTAATAAAAATTGACAAATATTTATAATCATTGATTTATCGATAGTTCATCAACTATATATGGCGCGTTTTTGATCGAAGGCACCGGTTGACCTGAAGTGATGCTGTGACCGCGCGCTCTAAGCCCTCTATCTCGAAAACGGTTCACCGTATGAAAAAAATTTTTAAACAAAATTTGTAGAGAATTTTGTATTCTACAATATTGATAATAAATACCAATAGTAAAAAACCCATAGGAAATGAGATATTTACAAAAAAAAAGCGCAAAAAACCGATTTTTGTGACCTTTGAATTTAATAGTTCCGTACACCCTACCATATGTAGGTTTTGAGACAACTTTTAGGGTGTCAATATACAAGTATTTACAGACTTACAGCTGGGTATCTGAATTCCGAGATTCTTACCTAATTTAAGCTTAAATGACTGGACTATGTAAATATGTAGGTTTATATAATATATGAACATGCATACATATTGAGGCAGACTTTTGCGAGCCAGGGAAAAATATTTTAAATTTGTTCAATTTACGATTTTTAGCTTTTGCCATCGTCGCGAAAAGACGCTTGTAGGCAAACGCATGCTCGGGGAGATGTGTAAAGCGTGCATGTGCGCCAGCGTTCATGAATGAAAATGTTTTTGTTTTGTGATTTACTACAAATGTAGGATTTGTCATTTTGGCTGCCATACTGATTTCTGATGCTGCTCATGATATTTGAAACAATTGTTGTTTTTGTACAACAATGTTTGTATTTTTGTCTATTGGCTGACCTACTTGTACTTACAAATGTACGCTTATCTGTAGATTTCATATACATTACGTGTTTTGCAATGTCATAATACATACATATCTACATATAGACCAGTGCGCGCACACGTATTTATTAATAAATGATAATATATCAAAAATTCTATTCCTCTATGTGTACATACACTAGGTAGAAAAAGTATGCGTACAAGGCACCAACAAAAATAAATCGTTGGCAAAAAATGTTATGTCCTTTTTATAAAAATAAAACTTATTAAATTTGCGACAATGACGAATAAAAAATCCATTAGAAAGAGTCTGCGAACAGGGTACATAAGTCGATCAAATATATTCTTCCAGCGAATTCTTCTTAAAATTTAATAGAAAGTTGAATATCCGCAACGTTTCAAAACTTCCGCTAGAGGTTTTGACCCGAAATAGACAAGCTCAGAGGTTTCTCGTTCAGCACATCCTTGAGCATATCTTTTAAGGAAATCGTGCGTTGGCGGATTTTACGTTCCAATGAATCCCATAGGTGCGTTTTAGGATTCAAACCTGGTAATTATGGTGGTGTTTGAAGCTGCTTGGGAACGTTGTAGAGTAACCTAAGCTTTACTATGTCTATGCAGTATGCTTCGGGTCGTTATCCTATAGAATAGCAGTTCCTTCCAAGTCACAATCTTCTGCTCTTTGTTTCAAATGTATTTTTGAGATATTTGGGTATGTATATTTGTCCATGGTGGACTCTATAACTTCCCTTTGGCCCACTCCATTACTAGCTATGCACCCCCATATCATTACTTTTTCACCACCGTGCTTCACATTATTCATAAAGATTTCCTTGCTCGTTTTTCGAAACCTTTTGCCAAAACTGCCGGGGCTTGTTTAAGTGCTCTTTCGCGAAAGAATTATGCACTTGCCTATTGACTGGCGATATGAATGACTTCCTGTGTGCGACTTGACCATTAAAACTTGCTTTTTTAATTTTACGAATCGTATAAGTGCAGAGGGATTTCTTAAAGTTTTCTTAACATTTTGATCGATTTTGGTTGCAGTAAGTCAGGGATTTTGCTTCATACTTTCTGTCACATGGTTACGTATTTCACGCTATGCTAGTATTTTTGACCGCCCTGAACGGGCCGAAATATAAAAAAGCCGATTTGTTTGTAATTTTTTATTATTCTTTTTATGGAAGAATGTGTTCTCCTAACAATTCGACCAATTTTTCTTCTTCAAAAAGTTTAATAATTATTTCCCTTTTAGAGGATTATTTGCCTTTCTTTAATGCGAAATTCGATGTTCTAAACTTAATAACAAACTGAATGAAACTAAAATCGTTTAAAATTCCACACGTTTACTCTTGGTTTTTACGCGAAGAATTCCCATTATACTACTTGTACGCAGACTTTTTCTGCTCTGCGAAATGACAATTTTGTGTAAATTTATCGATAAAACTATGGTATCTGATTTTCACTGCTTTAAATTCTACGGGATTATGCAACAGACTAGTAATAAAGCACTTAATGTGATTTTATTCTAAAATGACATCAAAATTGCCGACGGCAAATCAATGCTTGTTCGACTCCATATTGATGTACATACATATGTATATATGTACGTACATAAATTATTAATTTTGTAACAATTGAAATTAGAAAATTATTAAAAAAGTAAACTATATTTTTTTGCATAACTTTTAGCATTTTATCACACCGCATTCGTGCAAAAAGTTTTTTTTATCAATTTCTCATCATAAAAATCGGTTATATGACAAAAAAACTATCACGCATATGTGAAGTGGCAAGATTTGTAGTCAAATAAAGTCTTTTCGAGTTTGAACAGGGAACAGAGTACTAGGTTCGCGTGAAAATGGGATGGGAAAAGAAATTTGCACAGTACTAAACCGCCATAATACACAATTAGTATTTTGCTCAAATACCTTTTATAGTATTGTACTAATTGCGCAGTGGTAGAAAACACACCAAAATAGACGCTCTTGGCATTGATTTATTTATAACACAGTGCGCGAAATAATTATATGGGGCAACTGTTTTTCGATTAAATATTGAAATCCACGCTTAAACTACTTACATAAATATGTCATTAAACAAACAAAATTGATTCTTTACAAAATAATTATATGGGACAAGTAATTCTATTTCCGTATATGTATATGTATATGCATTGTTATACTCTCGCAACCTGTGGCTACAGAGTATAATAGTTTTGTTCACCTAACGGTTGTTTGTATCACCTCGACCTAATCGAGTTAGATATAGAGTTATGTATATATAAATGAACAGGATGAAGAGACGAGTTGAAATCCGGGTGACTGTCTGTCCGTCCATCCGTGCAAGCTGTAACTTGAGTAAAAATTGAGATATCGTTATGAAACTTGGTCCACATGTTTCTTGGTACCGTAGGACGGTTGGTATTGCAGACGGGCGTAATCGGAAAAGCAAATAAATTGCCATAACTAAGCTCTACAATAAGATACAAGACTGTTATTTGATATACAGGATCACATTAGGTAGGGGCATCAGCAGTTAAAATTTATTTTAAAAGTGGGCGTGGTTAAGCCCCCTAATCGATTTAATGTGCATGAGATATAAGACGACTTTATCGGAACCGCGTTTAAAATGAGACAGTGGGCGTGGCACCGTCCTCTTTTAGGTGAAAATCCATATCTTGGGATCTGCTTAACCGATTTCAAACAAATTCGGTACATAAAATTTTTCTCATATTTCTATGTTTTAGTGCGAAAATGGGCGAAATCGGATTATAATCACGCCTATTTTCCATTTAACACCATTTTAAATTCCACCTGATTCTTTCACTTTCCATTATGCAAATCATGCATCAATGATTGTATCGGGGTAAAACTTTGCGTGAATAATGCGTTTAAGGTATGCCACCTTGTGACCATATATTGTCTACATCGAACCAAAACTGTTCAAGCCCCTAGGTACCGAATGTGTTGACCCCAATGTCTATAGTTGACTTTTTTCCGAAAATATTAGTCAATGTGTAAGATATATAGTTGAAATTCATATAACAAAATAAATAAATGAAACTCTCGATAATAGTATGTCTTTGTGTCAAAAATGGGTTGAATCGGATCAATACTTCCTTTAATATAAAATTTTGCCAACACTTGAAGTAATTTCCCGGGCTTTGATCCTTGCAAGTTGCGAGAGTATAAAATGTTCGATTACACCTAAACTTAGAACTTCCTTACTTGTTTTCTAATTTGTTCGGCATAACTTTGAATATATCTTACCTTATCAATAAATGTGCAACCATGCAAACCGGTTATTTGGCAACGGCGTACATCAGGAACTTTTAAATACGTATGCAACAGCATATTGAAAGTGAAAGATAAATCCTTGCTGGGGTTATATACTCCAATGTGAAAATGTAACTCCTTTTCTCGTAAAATCAGTCGATATGTAATACGAAATCTGCACAAAGAAAAATTAGAAACTTATTAAAAAAAAGAAATCGTATCTTTCTCTTGTTATATAGCGTAAATCGATAGTTATTTTCAAAAATAATGGATTTATTTAGATCTTATATTATAGAACATTCGTATATTAAGGTTTATATCTGTTCGTACACAGCGGTCCAAATCTACAATAGAATACTAAATTCATATTTTTGGATATACAAATGACATGTGCTTAATTCCCTGACTCTATTGTCTCCTCTCTGAACCAACTCGAGATTATGATGTAGTTCATCACTATAAAAAGTTTTATGTGAACAACTTCCGAGATATCGTCCAAGAACTCTCGACCGATAGTTGCGATGCAATTCCTGTATAGTGTTTTACATTTGCCCAGAAGATTTTTTACAGTCTCCTCTTCTTCTACCTCCTGACAGCTTCTATAATAATCAATCTAAGGTGCACCTAGCCTGCTGGCATGTATACCAACTAGACAGTGACTTGTTAGCGGTACTACCAGAGTTTTTATGTCATTAGTTTTGAATTTTGATAGCCGGTTTGTGGGGCCCATGTTCCATTCATGCCACGTTTTCCGGCTAGTTGAGCAAGCCAGGCATTGACTCCACCGAGACTCAACTAGATTTATAACATGCTTAATTATGGTAGTAAATTAAAAGTTTTCTGATAAACTTTCAAAATCCTCGTAAGATCTAGTTACATAACTTTCGAAAACATTGTACTATAGATAATATAACCCGAAACTCTTCCCGTCTTCCTGTTGAGGGAAGCATTGACCTCTACTATACAAATGACGGGCAACAAAACTATCTGGGATCGAGTTATTAACTTATTTCCGTTGTATATGTCTTCGCGAAATATGAAAGTGGTCTAGTAGTTTCCGAGGTATAGGATTTCACCTAAAGGTGGGAAGTATCACGGTCAAGTGTCGAATTTTGACAACGGCTCCTATGAAGCCCTTCCGAACCATCTTGGCTGTAAAATTTAATTGTTATTCTCAGGAGCAGTTGCTTACCTTATTTTGCGAATTTTGGAGTTTGAACAAAATGAATAGCTCTAAATAAACTATTTCTACTCTGTAGCAACATGTTGCAAGAGTATAATAGTTTTATTCACCTAACGGTTGCTTGTATCACCTAAAACTAATCGAGATAGATATAGGGTTATATATTTATAAATGATCAGGATGATGATACGAACTGAAATAGTCTGTCCGTTTAGCGATTTAGGTAGGGTAACCAAATATTAAATATATTGAATTATCGTCACGAAAACAACAAAATTGTTGCAACCATAAAGCCGAAATAAGTTAAAGTACGGTAGTTTAGTTTTTATTACTGTTTAAAATTGTAATCCTTCGAAAATATTACCCGTCTGTAATTCGATGGCCAGATATTGTATATAAATGATTACGATGACAAGACGAGTTGAAATGTGAACTATCCGACTATCCATGCGGAACAACGCACGAGATATTATGTAATGAAACTTGGTATACATATTCCTTGGCACCCAAGGGAGGTTGGTATTGCAAATGGGTGGAATCGGAATTGTTAAAATTGGACGATGGGCGTGGTACCACCCACCTTTAGGTGAAATCCTATATCTCAGAAACTCCTTAACTAATTTCAACCAAATTTGGTGTGTGATGTTACCCAAACATTCCTGTTAGACATTGTGAAAATGGCAAAACTGGATGAAAATTAACACGACTAGTTCCCTCAAGGTATTTCATCTTACATCCAAAAATAGTTGAAATTTAATTATAAATTGTGCTGGGTAAAATCGCCTTAACACCAACACCTAACAAATATTTTGTGAACTTCCGGTTCACTTTATATCGCATCTATTGGTCAATATATAAAAAATCATAATGAAATTTAGAAATAATCTTTTTCTAATAACAGTGTATCCTCTTGCCTTAAATGGATGAAATCACGGCAATACTTTCCCTAGTTTAATATAAAGTTTTGTCAGCACATGAAAGAATTTCCCATTTTCGGTTACACCCGAACTTAGCCCCTCCATACTTTGTTTTTTTTTTATTTATTTTTGAAAGTCTAGCTGAATAATTTACTACAATTGTTCTTTGCTCTTAAAACACTTTATGAATTTTTGAGGTAATATTTCCTTCCCACATTTTTTTCAAAAATACGGAAAAATATAAAAAATTTACAAAATAAAGAACCTTTCGATATATTGTGATGTTTGTCGCATATTATACGCAAAATGTTTTTTCACCAGATTGGTTGTAGTATAGAGTGATGATTAATGTGCAAAATGCACTCGTCAATAAATCGACCACCAGCCGAAAACGATACGACTAATTTTTCTATTTCATAATTTTTTTTTCTGGTGAACTACAATGTTCAAGGTGAATGATGTCCAATAATACACTATAAATTCACGAAAAAATTGTTTTGTCAACGTTATTGATTAATGCGTACTTATATGAACAAGCTAACGTAGAAAGTATCATACTCAAAGCACACAAGACGGGCAGTCGCCTTACTGTTTGAATGAGAAATTCTTGCAATTTGGCATATTTTCACACAATCTATCTATCGATGGCTTCAAATATTAGAATTTATGTTTTTCTGATGGCTATTTGTATTCTTTTATTTCGTAAAACGGTACAAATGAGAATTGAAAACCCGAATACAAAAATTGCGGCGTAGGTGAAATGGTCGTACTGAAGTTTTTAAAACTATTTGATGATCCACGTGAACATTGTGTTGCGTTTGAGAACTTTTTCACCTCTCATAAACTGATAAGCCAACTCACCTCTTTGGATATTATGCTACCGGGACTATTCATGACAATCGTACGAATAAAGCAAAACGTATTGACGTCTCATCATCTAAGAAGAAAGAACGCGGCTGGCTAGACTACACATTTGATCGAAACGATAATGTGCTGATAGCCCGATGGAGCGACAATTCTGTCGTGACCTTTGCATCGAATCATGAGGCAACTGAACCTCTGCATCGTGTTAAGCAATGGAAAGGCGACAAGAAATATTATGTTGATATGCCACACATCGTAAGAGCATACAATAATCGAATGGGTGGCGTTGATCTCTTATAATGCCACTAATAACAAATGCATTGAAGATTCACTGTGCTCTCCTCTCTATGAGAAGGGAATATCACGTACCAACGAAAGATCTATGACACAAAAAACCCGAAAAAAAGTACCATTGAATAAATTACAGTTACGTATTTACGTTGCAGAATGTTTGCTTCGAATGGCAATACCGTCGATTTCGACTTTTGAGACGTTTACTCCATAGGCAACAGCTGTACGAAAATCCAAAGACGCCGCTTTGAAGAGCGTTCGTAAACACAAAGTTTGCCATGGCATTGAAAAATTAGAGAAGCCTCATAGTTCTCAAAATTGTCACAAACATTCGTCTTATTGTGTTTTGTGTTTGAATCAAATCCACGAAATATGAAGTTAAGATATTTAACTATCAATATAATTCTTTCAAAACGTACTTCTGATATGTATATTTTTTTCATTTTGAATAAAATGTAATTTAAAATTGAAGCATCGAACAAAATAAATGATTGTCGACTTTTCGAACAGACTTAATATAAAAATCTAAAAAAATTCAAACCGTCGAGATATTTTCATTATAAGCAGAATTTAAAAATTTAATAAAATCAATGGAGTGACTTTATGCAGAATAGATCGGTTAATGTGTGAATTATCTTCTTAAAATTTCGAGCCAAGTAAACTTGAGAATTGCTAAAAGTTAATGCAATCAATCCAAACCTTCCCCTAGCCCCAAATGCCCGATGTAGTGATTTCGACTCCACATGGTTCATGTTTTCTTTATATGTTTTCCACATTGGTTGAGTTTATTCACATATACATATGTATATCACTTGAGTTATTTATGGTGATTTTAATATAAATATATTGGACATGAAGAAAAATGTAATGAAATGTTGAAAAACAATTTCGTCAAATGATATAATATTTATATACATACATATTTTGATGATAAATTTATTTTAATTCTTACTGATAATTCCACATAGAACGAGTAAATTCGTTGTCCGTCAAAGAGAAAATAGCTTCAACATCACCATTGTGCAAGCGTTCTGGAGATCGCTCCAAATTCCATCTAGTTATACGTGCAAATCCGTGCTGCGGACCAAATGACCAGGGTCCAAATTGAGCTAAAATTGTATAACAAGTTTTGTCAATTTTGTGGATAATATTTATGCATAGGCTTTCTTTTTTCTATGTTTTCCCTTGATACCCTTCCTTGACTTAGTAAATTTAAATTTTGATTTGCTTTTTTTTATGATTTTAAACAGATTTTTTTATTCTCTTGCAACATGTTGCTGCAGACTATAATAGGTTTGTTCACCTAACGGGTGTTGTATCAGTTAAAAATAATCGAGTTAGATATAGGGTTATGTATATATAAATGATCAGGATGATGAGACGAGTTGAAACCCGGGTCTGTCCGTCCGTCCGTCCGTCTGTGCAAGCGATAACTTGAGTAAAAATTAAGATATCTTAATGAAGAATTTTTAATGGATTGGTACACGTGTTCCTTGGTAACAAAATTGAGGACGACTTCGTAGATGGGCGTAATCGGGTCACTGCCACGCCATTAATCGAAAATCTATAAAATGTCTTAACTAAGCTCTTAAGTAAGATATAAACCTAAAATTAGGTACAGAGGATTGCAGTACTAAGGGGCATCTGTGGGTTAAAAATTTTGAAAAGATGGGCGTGGCCTCGCCCTCTTATAAGATTAATGTAGATATCTCTCCCATCTGAAAATATTCTTGTTCCAGGGACCGACTCATTTGAATTTAAATGTATTAGAGTATACGTTAATAGTTGCTTTATTTATTTAACCCTATCTTATATACCACCCCATTCCGACTTATCTGTATACATGCAGCATGCTTCTTTAATAAATAGTGCTACCTCGATGGCAAATAATGCAGATTCAATAATTGTATTAGGTGATTTCAATTTACCGTGTGCTTCGTGGAAACCATTCGATGACTATATCGTGCCGATTTGCAATCGGTCATGTTTTAATGAGTTTTTCGAAAAAATGTCCGAGTTGGGTCTGAACCAAATTAATTTGATTCCGAATAAATTTGGTAAATGCTTAGATTTAGTATACGTTGATACCTCTGCAAAGTGTTCCGTTATTCAGAGTAATCCTCTTGTTCTACCAGAGGACTCATATCATCCTGCTTTGGAAATATCTGTCGAAATCTCAGGCATTGTACGGGATAATAATCATCAAACTTCGTGCTTCTGTACTCGGTTTAACTTTGCAAAAGCTAATTTTAAAAAAATTAAATACAGAACTTTCTACAATAACATGGCCTAATTATAATGGTGACATTGAATTGAGTGTCTCTCATTTTAATAACATTATTATGAAATTATTTGAAAAGTATGTTCCAATAGTAATTGTTAATAAAAGCAAAAGTATAAGTCCGTGGTTTTCGAAAGAGTTATATAAATTGAAAAACAGAAAAACTCGAGCCTTTAAACATTTTAAAAAAACCGGTTCACTTGTCGACTATTCTAAATATTCGCTATTGCGTCGACGATATTTTGACCTAAACAAAAAATGTTATAATAATTACTTAAATAAAGTTAAAAAAAATATTGTAAGTAATCCAAAATCGTTTTATGATTTCGTCAACTCCAAACGCAGGATTTCCAAATTTCCGTCCGCAATGAAATACAAATCTATCATTTCAAGTGACAATGATATTATATCCAATATGTTTGCAGAATTTTTCAAGTCAAACTACTGTAATAATTCTTCCAAAACTTTTTCTTATCAGCAAGTGCTGTGTTCGAATACTTTAATTAACGCCCCAGTTATTTCTGAAGAAGACGTCCTTTTTAATTTAAATAAGTTAAAACCATCTTTTAGTTATGGCCCAGACATGATACCCTCATGCTTCCTAAAAAATAGTGCCAAATATATTTACTTGCCTTTGACAAGGATATTTAATTCCTCTCTTAAACACGGTATATTTCCTTCAATATGGAAACAGTCATTTATAATCCCTTTGCATAAAAGTGGATTTAGATCGAACATTGAAAACTATAGAGGTATCGCAAAACTATCAGTTATACCTAAACTTTTTGAAGCTATCATCACTGACCATATAACCTTTTCGATTTCTCCGTTAATTTCCCCATCTCAGCATGGATTTCGTAAAGGGAACTCGACTATATCAAACTTACTTGAATTTGTAAACCATGTATCATTGGGTTTTAGGGAACATAAGCATACGGATGTTATATACACAGACTTTAGCAAAGCTTTCGATAAAGTAAATATCTCGATTCTCATACATAAACTTGATCTGCTGGGCTTTCAGCCAAGATTCCTTCAATGGGTATCTTCCTATCTTTATAATAGAACACAACGAGTGATATTTGAGGATACACCTTCAGATACAATTAATGTTTCTTCTGGTGTTCCGCAAGGTAGTCATCTTGGCCCGATTCTGTTCTTGTTGTTTATTAACGATATCTCTTCAGTAATAAAATTCTCAAAAATTTTATTATACGCTGACGATGTAAAGCTTTTTAAATCATACACTTCAACTGAGGAAAGGTGTCTGTTGCAAACAGACTTAAACAATTTGGTTGCATGGTGTGATAGAAATGATTTGCCATTGAATCTCAATAAATGTAAGACGATGTGCTTTTCCCGTAGATCTGTGCACCCCTCTTCTTACGTAATAAAACACCATATTCTAGAGCAAGTTTTAAACTATGTTGATTTGGGAGTTAATATGGACCCTAAGCTTAATTTCAGTCTTCATATTGATACCATGGTCTTGAAAGCAAAAGCTGTCCTCAGTTTTGTTAAACGTTGGTCTAAAGAATTTAGAGATCCGTATATTACTAAAACACTTTATACAACTTTGGTTAGACCTATATTGGAATATGGCTCTGTGGTATGGAACCCTAGCTACCAAATCCATTCTGACAAGTTAGAGTCGGTTCAAAAACAATTTTTACTTTTCGCCTTAGCGCATTTCCGATGGGATGCTAGGGTAAGTCTACCTCCATACACAAGTCGTTTAAAACTTATTAATCTACCTACACTTTCTAGTCGTAGGGAAATGCTTGGCATAATATTCTTAGTGAAACTTTTGAATAGAACTGTTTGCAGTTCTTTTCTCCTGTCTGAAATTAAATTTAATATCCCGGTTCGCCTTTCGAGGCAGTTTAGACCTTTACTGCTAAAATCCTGTAGATCAAATTTTGAACTAAACGAGCCATTCCGCCGTATATGTCATGATTTTAATTCTCATTCCAGCACATTTGACTTATCTGACTCACTTTTCAAAATTAAAAAGACTTTATTGTTTTCTCTTAATAAATGAAAATGTAACAATTTATTATATTGTAACTTTAGATCTTAGCTGTCGAAATTTTTGTTTCTGTAGCTGAGCAGTTTTAGATCTCAACACTTAAAAAACTCTCTTGCCTTTTCTGACTCGGCTAATTCCGCACGTATGCGGATTGCGCCCCTCGCGTCGGTTGGGCGGGAGGAGGGTAATCGTTGGGTTTATTATTATTATTATCTTCTAAGCCGCTAAACCTATAATAAGCAAATTCACTTACAACAAATCTTTTTAGCACCCCTACCGATAGTGTGAAAATGCGTAAATTCGGACTATAACCACGCTCACTCTTCATATAACGGTTATGTTAAAAACTACTAAAAAGCTATAACTCACTGAAAAAAAGCGACACAAGTATTTAATTTCACCGTGGCGTGGCACCGCCCACATTTTAGGTGAAAACCCATGTCTCGGGACATGTTCCACCGATTTAAATTAAATTCGCTACGTAAGATGATTCAAATATTTCTATAATACAGTGCTACGGACTACAACCACGCCTACTTTTCACACAATTTTAAATTTCATCTGATTCTTTCAGTTTCCAGTATACGAATCAAGCGAGAATGAATATAACTGGATAAAACTTTAAACGAATAGTGACTTTGAAGTGTGCCACTTAAGTGGGTCATAGCTCCTAACAAAATTGCGAACTATTATCGAAAATATCGGTTAATCTATGGGATATATCATAGAAATTTCGAGAAACTCCTTTTCTGATAATAGTATGCCTCTATGCCACAAATGGGTTACATTGGATCAATAATTTCCCTAGTCCCCATATACCTTATACAAAACTTTTCGAACTTCCGGATGACTTTATGCCGCATATATCGACCAATATGTGAGTTATCTCAATGAATATTAAAGAGCGTGTTTTACCTTAACGGGGCAATGGATAAAATCCCATATAACTAATATTCGAGTTTTCAAGCATATCCTTTTCTTTACTCCTCATATATTTGTATGTTTGGTACCTTAATGAAACTCAGACATTTTTTTCTTTTAACAATATGTAATAATACTAAAAAATAATATAATAAAATCGGGTCTATACTGCCCCTATCTCTCATATACCTATACCAGAGAACTTAGATGAACAAGAGGGTGCAGGTTCGACAGCGAACGTTTGTAAAATTTTAGTCGGGGAATTCATCTCATAAGCAGAAGAAACAAATAACATTTGTCGCTTTTATAACAGCGGTGAATCTGTACACATACGCTCTCTTAACATAACCAACCGGCGAATATTGAAGAGAATATAATATGTATGCCAAACTGGGAATATTGATAGTCCATTTGAAATATTTTTCTTTTTATTGAACTATTATTTATTATTTTTTTAATTATTTTATGTAAATTCATTCTTACTGAGTTAGTAGTTAGTAGTAATAATTTAATATAAATCTTTAAATAATTCATGTATTTGACACCATTAAGGAGTCACAAAAGTACAGAATTCATGCACTCAACCAGGGAATTCCTTTAATATCGTGTATACATGTAAAGAAATATTATAGAACACACGTAAGGAAGTTTAAAATTCGGGTGTAATCGAACACTCAATACTCTTGCAACTTGCAAGGATTAAAGCCGAGAAATTACTTCAGGTGGTGGCAAAATTTTATATTAAAGGAAGTATTGTTCCGATTCAACCCATTTTTGACACTAAACATACTATTATCGAGAGTTTCATTTATTTATTTTATTATATGAATTTCAATTGTATATCTTACACATTGAACGATATTTTCGGTATTAGTCAA